GAAGAGCGTTTGATCAATACTCAGTGCCCTACACTATATGGATTTTCTGTTTCCTCTGCACAGCCAAGAGGAATATAAAGTTTAAAAAGCTTTTGTCCTTTTTTGGTCATAAAGTGTCAGGACAGTTCTTACTCTGACCGCTGTAATAGTTCCCTGGACCTCAGAGCGGCTGAAATGTTAAAAGTATTTGACAGGTGAGAAATGGAACAGCACAGGGTATGGGTGCTCTGTAGTGAAAATCCAGTACTAACCCTGAGAAAAACAGTAGTATGTACAGAAAGTTCACTAGCGATAGTGGGGTGTGCCTGACAAAATTAGGAGGAAAAATGTTATGGGGACTCCCTGACACGTTCTTGCCTCTGGAAAAATGTACCTGTGCAGACCAGGTTAATGGCTGTAGTCAGTGCTGGGTTTTCAGGAGGCATGCTGAGCTCAGAGCTAGAGTGCTTTCCAGGTTAGACTCTATCTTCCCGTACGCTCACTCCAGAAGAGCAAGGGCTTGCTTGCTGGTCATTGCTGCTCTCCACTCCCCCCCTCAAGCCACAAGACGTGTACTAAAGTGAAAACAGCTGCACTTTATATTTTTATAAAGACAAAAAGGGATCTTGGATCAGCCCAAAAGAGCTGTTGTTTAAGACTTCCTGTTGATCCATTCCTAGATAGCGTCTGTGATTGAAGTCTCAGATGCAGCCATGCAAAACTACAGCTGAAGTTTTTGAGCCTGTGGGTTAGTTGAGTAAAAGTGTGAGGAAAAAGGTGGGAATAATTATTTTCACACTCTGGGCATGGATAATAGTCAGATCTAGGCAAATGAGCAAATGTTATCAAGGGCTCTTACCATGCTCTCGAAGGGATCATGAGATAGCCAGCAGCTTTAGAAGGAAGAGGATTCAGAGTTGTCCTTGACCTTTGGATAAAGCAGAGAGAACTGTAGGTGTGTTGTAACTTGCCTCTTTTGCAGGAACTTGCCACTGTCAGAGTTTAAGTTCAGATGAGAATTGTCAGGTTATGAAACTGCAGCAGCAGGAAAACTCTCATCCTTCTGGGCTGCTTGCTGCTTTGCCCAAAAGATTCATATAGGGTAATGTGGCAGAGTTGCTCTTTGGCATGTGCAGAGCCATGATTTTCTGCTAGCAGAAGAGTAGCACTCACCCTGCTGCTGCTTTGTCTCCCTTCACCATTTGACAACCACTTGTTACTTTTTCTTCCTTCTTTCTCTTTTGTGGAGGAGAGCTAATGCAGATTTCTCAAGTGTCAGAAGATAACTATTGTTGTTGATGTGCATGGGGACATCCAGACCTTATGTGTACTTCAGGCACAACTTTTAGTATGATCAAATTCACATTAGGAAGGTAAAATATGCTTGGCCAGGACCAAGGCTTTGAAATTACTGCTGTCTGCATCAGGGCAAACAGAAGCCCTAGTTCTTGAAGGTATTCAGGAACTAAAGCTGCCCTGATTTCAATGAGATATCAGCCTCTAAAAGCTGCCTGTATGAATTAGGATATTTGCATCCTTACGTAAGCAATGGTATTTCTTTAAAGTCCGTAAGCTGGTTGTAAATAGTTTACCCACTTACAAGCTTTGAACAACTTGCTACGCTTATTTAGCATTGTGGAAAAATTTCATAGGCAAACTTGCAAAAAAGTCAGGGGTCTCTTTTTTTTTTTCCCCCCCCAAGAGATGCAAATACCACAGTGGCCATTCTGTTTTCAGAAAACACGAACAGTTTCTTCAACCAATGCCAAAGTAATAACAGTACGCGAACTGGGGGTTCTTAAGACAGTGTGAACAAAGCTGTCTTTGCTCCCTGTTGTTATTTCCTAGTGGCTATTTATATTTTTTTCACATAAGAATGTATATTTTGTATAGCATGTGTAACATATGTTTGTTTATTGTAATATACCTTCACTCAATAAAATGCTATATACATTGAGCATCCAGTGTAACTTTGTTAGTTTACAGATGAAGTAATTTTCCTTTTATGATTTTTAATTTTCACAGGGAAAAAATGCAGTAAACTTGGTAAACGGTTTGAGGTGAGAGTCAAGTCTTCTCAACATGAATATTATACGTATTCTTCACTTAAATTGTTGGAAGAATGCTTAGTACTTAGCCTGGCTCATGAGTTAACTTCTATCCATGGTAAGAAAGTAGTAGCTGGCTGCATGAGTGGGTCTGTGCCCCTGTCTCGGAGACAATGCAGGAGCGTGAGGCAATCAGCTGATCCTGCCAATGGCTGACACAGTGCTTGCAGTCCAGGCACGCTTCTGAAAACAGGGAGCAAGGAGGGAAGAAATGATTTAGTCAAAGGTGGTGTGCATAAAAACCACTTAGCCTAGGTGCTGCAGAAACAGCTGCTGATCTTCAGACAGCGGCATGCATGCCGACAATCTCCATAGATGCAGGTAGGGCTGTTCTCACTGTCTAGACCCAAAGTGCTGTTGCCATGTGTTTACAAATCTGGAATTTCGTATAGCTCATGCACACGATACAAAATTCGTTATAGTATTTCTAGTCACACAATTCAAGACCATTTTGCCTCTTGTAAGAAGATGTGTCAGTTGCTCCCATCTAGATACAATTACTTTCAAAGTTAAAGCTTTTCTTAGAATAGCTTTTTGCTATCAAACATTCTTCTTATTTCAATTTTCTGGTTGTAAACTTCCTGTACTTTCTTCTGAAAACGTGGAGGTACTTCTACAAAGGTGCTGTTGACTCTGGGCTAATACTCGTATATTATTGTGCTCCCAATGCTGTCCTTTTGCCATTCAGATTCTTCAAGGTAATGAAAAGCAGTTTTCCTTCTGGCAACAGACTATCAGCATAAATGAGCTAGTGACAGCATGCCCCTGCATACCTGCTGCGGGCGATGAGAGAGGTGAGTGCCTCCCATCTGCCAGTCGTCATCATAAGAGCCACAGTAAGTTTTCTATTCCTTTGTATAACTTCTTCTGTCACTATATTCTTGCACTAGTTTGTGTTCTGATGATTAATCCTGCCTTCGTTCTTCTGTACTGCATTTTGTACACTTTGCTGTTTTATCTATTCACAGCTCTCAGAACTGCTTGACCTTTTCCTGCTTTAAACTAACTGCTCTAGCTGTTCTGTCCTCTGCTCTTAGCGACGAGTGAAGCTTGCACCCAGGGAAAGTTTAGTTCCCTAGAGCTTAGCGTACATAAGGTTTAACATACAAGTGTGAAGTCACCTGGCTTGGCATGCTTCTGTTTATGGAAGCACAGCACATGACAGCCTTCAGCGTGCAGGGATTTCCTCTCCCAGCTCTAGCAGCCGGGGGTTGCCCAGGGGGCCAGTTTGGCAGAGGGAAGCTCCAGATGTAGATCTCAGCACTGTGCTTCTCCAGGAGTGCCAGCCAGGCTGTGCAGAGGTTGCCTCCTTGCTGACAGCTGTAGGAACAGGCTTTGCTGCAGAGGTGGGGTCAGTCAGCTGGCAGCCTTGCCTTGGGTCCGTGCCTGGTTTGCCGGGGCAGCATGTGATGCGTTTGGCAGCGCTGCCCAGCTCCTTGTGGCCTGCGCCTACTCCCACAGGCACAGAGGCGTATCGTGTCTGTTGGACCCTGTGCAGCAATGTCTAAAAAGCAAAGTCACGCCTCAAGCAACTGCTGTTACTTCTGCTGTCTCTTGTTGCGAGCATAATGCTGTATTTCTTTGTATTTCATTTCTAGTAAGGGCTGCCCTTTCCTCCGAAGCACTAATGTCTGCAGGTGAAGATTCTTGACCTCTGTGGCTGTCAGCACATAACTTCGGTGTGTCAGGTTGTATGCCTGATAAAAAAAGAGATTATCTCAGTGCTAATAGGTGGCCTCAGGGGGTATACCTGGCTGTGAAGTGGACGCTACGCATGCCTGTCTCCTTTCAGCCAGCTCAGGAGGCTTGTTCACTGTTTACATAGTGCTTTGAGGTTTCCTAGGGGAATGGAGCTACAGCACTCAGAGTGCTTTACTTCTGGAGTGTGCCCACAGCATTCCCCAGCTACCAATTTTTGTATGCTCCCTCTAAGTATTTTCAGGCCACCATAATTGTAGGAAGATGACCTCAATGATATGAGTCTGTCCCACAAGTCTCGCCTTATCCAGGAGTGCAAGTGTTATGAACCCCCTGCCCCAACCCCATCCTGTGATCCTTTCAACAAGACACTCAGGAAAATCCAGTTATCACCTTCCCTGGAAAGTTTAGAGCTCCATGGTTCATTATGTACATCTCAACCCTGGCATAGTGTCAGAGAACCAACAGCTATTGAAGATAAGATCATGAATAGTTAATGTTCTCAGTTACCCAAGCATGTTTAAAAATTAACACTGCGGCGTGGTGCTGATGAGATTAAAAAAAATGGGTCATCAAAGAGAGGAAAAAACAGAAAACAATTGCATCTACCTTCAGGCTTTGCTAATGCCTGAATGTTTGTGGAAGATCCTATCCCTTCCTTGCTTTAATCCTTTGGTAGGTTAAACATACTGGATACTTCATTAAACCACCTTCTCCCCTGCCTGCCTGATTCCTTGCTGCTGGAGGCTCCTCTCCTCCCAGAGAACAGTCTCTGCCCCTTCAGGGGCTGCTCCGGACTCCAGAGTGACAGAGTTGATTAGTGTCGTGAGCAGGCAGCGAGGGGCTGGCGTCCATCTGCCCCGTGCCCGTTCCTGTGTCCCTGGGGGCAAGGGCTGAAGGGGAAGCTAGGTGACAAAACCTGGGTGTTTGAGTAACAGGCTCAGTGATAGTGTCCCTGCTGCATGGTACGCCATAACAGCATGGGCTGAAGAATCAGTCCAAGGCACAGGTTGTTCCCAAGGGATTTAACTCTCGGGGGAAGCAGGCAGAGGGCTTGGGCTGGGCCCGCAAAGAGTTGCAGTAATGCACAAGCTGTTGCAGCTCTCGGTGCGTGCTAACGTTGAGCTTGTCCCACCAGATCCAGATCTGCCTTGAACTGCCGGCTCATGGAAGTTGCCCAGTCCACAGCAAAACTGTTGCCTGAACTGTCACAGCACCAGGATGCACTCAGCTTTCCTGGAGCTGCCACACATCGTCTCATCCCTCCTCTAGGAGCAGCACTGTCAGTGCTGGCTGGGAGCAGGTGAGGGCTGCGCCATCACTGGGATTCCTGCAAGCTACTCTCTTGGTTAGAAAGGTGTTCACCCGTCTTTATGGGGCAACGGCTTTGCTTTCCATCAAATCCAGCCCAACTTTCCAAGTCCTCCAGGGTATGAGCTTAATAAGAGAATAAGTAAATAACTGAGATGGAAGGAGAAAATTGGTCTGCGTGAGAGTCCTAGACCTAGCTGGGCTTTGGCAAGGCAGACTGCAGTGCCAGCACAGCCATGGCTGTTGCCTTTTTCAGGAGCCTGCCCAGGGTTTTGGGCTGCTGTTTCCACATGTAGAAAGCTGGAAGAGACGCAGAATCTGTTTTTTTAATGAAACTAGTCATTCATAGGCAGACAAAAATATAGGGAACAAATTAAATCTAAATCCTAATTTTTGTGGCTCTTACCCTGAAGTAACTAACTGGGAAAGAACAGCAATGTGCAACTAGATTACCTCACTCTGGAAAGCACGCAGCTGTTTGAAACCAGATGTCAGAGCCACGGGAGTGCTCTGCTCTTGACTGCCTAGATTGTGTGCATGTGTGTCTGGTGGGGTGTGTGCTAGATAGCAGGAAGTGGGCATGCACATCAAGCTAGCCAGTGGAAGAAGTTCTTGGTGTTAATTCATTTTATTGTCCCTCATGACCCCTCGCCTGTGGATCCCGAGGTGAGCAGAGTGAAGGTGCTTATTAGCTGCTCTTGTGTGCATGCATGCATGTGTACTTGATCTGTGGTTTCCAAAGCACTTTAGGACGGTGGGCGAGCTCATAACCTCCAGGTTACAGATGCAGAGGGAGAAAAGAAATAGCCTGCCTAGAAGCCCAGCAGATGCATGACAAAAATCAAGCCTGGAGCTTGGGAGTGAGCACTGTGCTAGACCATAAGTGCTACCTGTTTTTTCTTCCCATGTCTGAAACTCAGCTATTTCTAGGTCTGCTTGTTCTCAGTTTCATTGAGCAGGTCAGGACAGGAAATGGGATTAAATGCAGCACTGCAGAAAATGGAGCAACCTCAGAGCGTGTCTTTTAATTAAGGGCCTTTTCTTCCTGCATCTGGGAGGCAGGCCCAGATTGGGATCCCTATCTGCAGGGAAATGGAGCACTATTAAGGCTACAGTTTATCTCATTTTCTCCCAATGAGATGCCATTGATTTGCTCTGTGGAGGGACATATGCTGATTAAACTGTAAATGCTTATTGACAGGCACAGGAGGCTGATGCGCTCAGCCATGTGCTCTGCAGAGCCATGCTCTCTGTGCACCCTCAGAGCTGTCGCTGCCTTAGGGTCTGAGATTCTCCCTCCTGCTTTGCTTCTCCTTTCTGCTGACAAAGGTCCATATTGGGGTTTATCCTGCAAGCTGACGGCTGCTTCATCCTATAGGGAAAGGAAGCAAACTGCAGCCTTCCCCTGCCAGACACTGCAGAGCCCGAACAGCCAAGCTGTGCACCCCCAGCAGAGCGGGGTGCAAGAGCCTGCCCACCCACACAAGATCAACCATGGTCCCAGAGCGCGATCCTGCACTGCGCAGGGGCAGAGCATGCCTGGGGCAGGGCCAGGGGACCTGTTCCTCACCACACTCTCCTACTCGGTGCATGTGAGCCACACTGCAGCCCCTGGGCTGAAGCTGTCTCTGCAGAGCTTCCCTCCCACCCACGCACATCTGCCCAGCACCTGGCCTTGCTGCTCAGCCTGGGTGCTGCGGAAGTTACCCTCCTGTAGCGAATGTGAGTCCAGATGGCTGAATTACAGGAGGTGTGGTGCAGCAGCCGGCAGCTTTTGCTGTGGAAATTCAGGCCAGCAGCAGGGGGAATTGCTTAGCTGGGTGGGATGGTTTCGTGGGGCTCAGCATCAGTCTGATCTGTGCGGCTGTGGGTGCTGCTGGTAGGAGGACAGTAAACTGAGTTTATTGCATTTGACCCACTCTGGCCTGCATAACCTCTCATAGCTCCGCTGAGTGAGGGTCAGGAGAACGCACCCCATCTTCCCTTTTCCCTCTGCTGGCTTTTCCCAGCACAGCGAGGTACTAAAGCAGCTATCCGCCACTGTCCTGCGCAGGGCAGTGAGCAAGGCAGGCAGCACAGCCCTGTGTGTACCACAGCCCCAGCACATCCATCTAAGGGGCTTTTCTACATGCTTTTGTGGAGGGACCGCTGCCTGTTCCTGGGTGCTGTAGCTGTTTTTAGGAAGGCTGCAGGTGCGTGTACTCAGCACAGGCTCTGTGGGGGTGTCTTTACCAGGAATGGTTGGGTACCAGGGATCAGACCGTGGAGAGCAGATGCTTTCCAACAGCAGCCAGCAGACAGGGAGGTGAATTCCCAAATCTCTCCAAAGCATCTAAGCAGCCCCTGGGAGATGTTCAGACCTATAGCAGCAGGTAGTCACTGCCACAGGGGTCTAGCAGGGCTGTCCTTCCCAGGCAGCGATGCTGACACATTCCCCCTCTGAGGCCTCAGACAGACCCTGCTTCTCCACCCGAACAGGCAGGAGCAGGTGAGGGGGTCATTAGGGTGGTGAGCAGCACCTGAGCCTTGGGGAGCCTGTCTGAGCCTGCAGGCAGCCTGGGGCAGGTGTGTGCTGTGCTCAGCTGCTAGGCTGGGCAGCCCCAGCCACTGAGGGGAGCGGGGCTGGTTCAGCCGTTATTTGCAGTGCCCCTTGGGTTTGGGCTTGGGCAGGAAGCAATGCTGTTGTTTGTCACGTGCTGCGTGTGCTGGGAACTGACCTCAGTGTGTTGCTCCTCCAGACTTGGGCTACGTTTGCTGTGCAGCTGCGGCTAACCGAGGTGAGCCTGCTGGAGAGGTGATGGGAACAGCCAGCACAAGGATGGTGAGTTCACTCTTGCCTCTGTAATTCCCCAGCCTCAGGGGCTGCCACGCTGTGTCTCTGTGCTAACGTGTCTGTTATTGCTGGGTATTATAGAACAGTTTAGCACAAGAAAAATTGCTGAAAATGAAGTAGTTTCTAAAGGCTTAGAGTGCTGCTGGACCTTGGGGGCTTTTGTGCCTTTGTCTGTAATTTTTTCTCTGAGTAGTGCCCTTCTGTGCCTGGTGCTCAGGGACCCTAGGGGGGTTCCTGGGTTGTGAGTTATACCATGTGCCATACTCAAACCACGTGGCATGTCTCTGGGTAGGTTTGTGAGTCTGTTCACTGCTGCAGTGTTTCCATCCTGTATTTTTCTGTGGTAATACATACAGTCAGGACCCTGTAACCTTTGCTTACCAGTCCTTCACACCCTGAGTCTGTTGGCGCATTGCTTGTTTGCGAGGGCAGCATCGTGGAGGGGGTTGTGTCGGTGGGTTGTGTGCAGAGTCCTTGGGACCTGCTGCGTTGCCGGCTGTGGAGCAACCATCTCCGAGTTGTCTAGGTGCTTGAAACAAAGCCAACTAGCTGGTTAAGTGTTGACAGGTTCTAGCCCATAGCATGGAGCTGCCTAAAATCTCCTTCTACTAAATTTCCAGATAAGCTCTCTTCTGGAACAAGCTTGCCTTTTGGCACATGCCTGTTCCTAAGCAAGTGCTGCCTCATTTTGACCTTCCCCAGGCTTTCGCCACTTCAGCTGTCACCACGACCAGGTCTGTGAGCAAGACCCAGATGGGGTTGCATCCAGGCAGCATGGGCTCCATCTGTGCATGGCTGCAGAGCTGGCAGGGCGGTCAGCTGGCCCCGCTCGGCCCATGGAGCGCGCGCGTGCAGGAGCATGCCTTGCTGCAGCACCGCGGCGTGGGCCTGATGCCCCACCGGGAAGTGGCCCACGGCTGCGCTAACACGAGCTCCGGCAGGAATTTGGCCTGGAATACAACCCTTTTTGTTCCGGCAGGTCTGCCCTCGCTGCCTTTGTCTGTGACTCAGATCATTCCCGTAAACACACGTCACCTCAGCTCCCTTGCTGCCTCCAGCAGCTGCTTATCGGTGTGTGTCTGGCACCTGGGCGATGCTGGGCAGTCGCGCAGATGCTGGCTGGTGTGGCAGAGCCCTGCTCGCTCCCTGCACTGCAGGAAGGTCAGGGACATGGTGGGCACCAGTGGCTGCAAAGCGAGGCTGGATGGAGACAAGAGTTCAGCCTCCATGCCTGCAGATGTGATGCATCGTCAGTGCTAGCACGTTTCTGAAGGACACGGATTGTAACTATCCGATTCCAGCTCATCTCTCTTGGCAAAGGCAGATTTTCTCTAAATGAGATCCTCTTACGCATAACTTGTGTGTAACACAGGGGATAACTGCTCCGCTCATCACTCTGAAGGTTCAATTTCACATTAGATATAAGTCTTCTGAAGAGACATTAAATATGTAATTCAGCCCAGCGTTTAGAAAAATCTCCCACATCCTTGCTCCGATTTATTGTTGATACCGTTTTGCCTGACACTGAATGGTGCAGGTGCATCTATTGAGCAGTGGGCTGTGATTTGTGACTCGCCAAAGGGGATTTCAGGATGCAGAAATAAATGTGCCCTACTCGATTAATAGCTAATAGCCTGCTGAGAGTGTCCCTGGCAGCGTGCTTGGCTTAGGGAAGGACTTGCTGAACAGAGTCAGGAGCTGTTCTATAGAGCAGGACAGATCCTTTCTGAAAAAAATTTTAATTAACTTAAAACAAATGCACAGGAAAGGACCAACCATTAGCTGCCTTTGCTTCCTGAAACTCATCCTTGCTAATTAAGCAGTATGTCAGCAAAAGTGACCTACAGATAACACAGCACCCAATTTGCATTTAAATTAAAAAACATATTTTTAAAATAAAGGTTTCATTAAGCCCCGTTTGTTTGTCTTTCCAGACATACACATTATCTAACCTTTCCTGGCTTTTTATTGACTGACTTTTGGACTGCCGTCGGCTTTACTGGTTCAGGTAGCGTGGTTAGTCACGGCCTTCTCTGCCCTTGCCTGCCCTCAGACTGCTCAGGCATGAGCCAGACCCAGCACCGAAACCGCCAGCTGGGAGCCCCGCGAGAGGCAAGGCTCGCGGGCCGGGCGTCTCTCGGGGATTGCACCCACCCCAGCGCGCAGCTGGGGGGCAGAAAAGCCGTTATGACGGCGGCGCGTTTCCGAGGGCACGGCAGCATTGCGGTAGGCGGCACAGCTGACGGCTCTTCGGAGCAAGCGGTGGAGTAAGTTTTCCTCGGAGCTTCTGCTGCTCAGCAGTTTAATGAACTCTCTGCTAGTTAAAACTATGGCTTCCTAATCAATGCTGTTTATCCTCAGGATGGTGTTTACCATGCATGAAGTGCTCTTGAGGCTTATGATGTCCTTGTAAATGGAACTTGAGTTTTTCTACCTGTTTTTTTCCTCCTTCCGTTATCATTAAATACAGGAAGCAATAGTCAGCTCTAGCAGTTCAGGATTCCCTCTTGGTGCTCAGGCTGTATGTCCTGTGGCTGTGCCAGTGCTTTTACGGAGAGATTTTCCTGAATAGCTCTTGTTAGCTGAGCTTGCTCACGCGGCATCCGCCTTGCACAAAACAAGGCAACCTTGCACGTCTGAGCAACAAAAGCAATCTCCGGTGACTGTGGCATCCCTGGCTCTTAGCACCATAAAGCAAGTGGGGGAAGGAGTGTTCTCCAGTAGAATGACCAGCAATGAATTACTGCAGTCATCCTGAAGGGAGCAGGCTTAATGGAGGGGAAAGGGCATTGCAGGAGAGAGGAAGAGAGCAAGAGGCAGTGCTGCCCCAGTCCAAGGTGCATCAGCACCAAAGGAACCGGTCGCCCCTCCGTGCCCAGACTGCGTCGCGGTCAGCCGATTCCCCAGGAGAGTCGGCCAGGAACGCAGTGCAAGCGAGCACTACCACGGCACCCTGCTGCTCCCGAAACACTGCACTCGCCCGGCAAGTCCAGCTGCCCGAAGTTCACCTGGTGTACCGCTGAAATAGTCAAGGGCAGGTTATGTAACTGGTGTCACGCGGCAGCTTACGTTAAACGGGGCGCCACGCCATCAGAGGAAGCAGCGGCGGCCGACACGTGACAGCAGCAGATGCGTCCGTCCTACGGACCGGCATCTTTGCAGGGACCCTGGCTCCTGACAAGATACGATTTTTGTGTGATCGCTTTTTATGCGTACCGTCCTGCAGGCATCAGCGCTGCAGGGCTGGGGAAAGGGGTGCCTCAGACAGAAAGCATGACATGGTGTTATTGCTGCTTAGCTTCCTGACCCCTTTCCTGGAGAGGAGGTGTTCCATATTTATATACATGTATCAGGGGTTTCATGTAGAACCTTCCAGGGTCTTGCTACCCAGCAGTCTCCATCTGCAACGCTGGTTTCTCCGGAAGTCCGTAGCAAGGCTCAGCACTGGCTGCCTGGCAGACAGGGGACCTTGCAAGGGGATCTGCTGAGCTACAATGATGGAAGCATTTGCAACACAGAAGCCTCTTACCAGGATTTCTCCATTTAAAGGAGGCTAATAGTATGCAGAAATGTTCCAGCCGTGCTGCTTTTCATGGGTGCAGGGTACTTCTTCAAGGGCTCAGAGTTCTATTCCTCTGTGTTTTTTGTATTAATGTGGCTCATAAAACGCAGCCAATATTTAAAAAAGGGGATCTAGTCTTTGCTGGGACCTCTTAGTTTCTCACCCTCATTTTTTAATTATAGGCATCAAGGCACAATAGAAGCTTAATGAGATCTTGTCTGGCCAGAACCTCATAGCGCTTTGTGTAGCTGATGCCACCAATCTGCATTTCCATGAAAAGGAGTAATGCCTATTTTTTCTCTCTTTCCGATGATGAGCTAGGTGCCTTGATTGTACCCGATACATTTCTCCAGAGCAGTCGCATTAATGAAATTTGAACTTCTGTGAGCAAAATTGAATTACTGAGCATGAGCTAAAATTAAGTATGGGGGATATGCAAACATCCATAAATCCAGCGACCTCGATAAAAGGAAAGATTGCCCTGCCAGCCTAAGTTGGGCAGGTCTAATTGGCTTGAGCCAAGCAGTGCTGAGCTTTGGCATTATTAGCAGTGACGGCATCTGCTCTGGCCAAGGGGCCGGGTGGAGAGGTCACTCTCAAAGCTGTGCCACCCAGTTGTGAGTATTTATCCACAGGATTAGCGGCGGCTGGGTGCCCTGGCTGCGGCGGGCTGGCCCTCGGCTCAGGGCCCCCAGGCAGGGTTTCAGCCAGTCCCGGGAAACAGGACCCCCAGGGTCCCTCCTGCTCCGGCGGGTGGTGATACCTGGCTGTCGCGCTATAATCCTGCCCTCCCTTTTGTCCGCCCTTCACTCCTCCACTGAAGCCTGACAGCTTTGATTTCTTTCCCTCGGTTAGAGAACATGAGGTTTTTGACAACTGCCTTTGCCATTATTCTTCCCTTAATGCTGTTGTTGTTTTGTGTTACTGTCAAATCACATCTTATTAAAGCTCCTTCCTGTCCCGTCGGCAGTAGATGAGGAGCACGAATAGCTACGTAATCTCCCAGCTCTGTCTGGGGAAATTGCCTTTTATTATTGACATGGAAGTGCTGCTGTGTCCGGGCCGGAGCAGGAGGGCAGCAGCCCTCGGGCCCCCTCCGGGGCTGCGGGAGCCAGCGGAGCGATCCCTGCGGAGCTGGCGGGCGGCCTGCTCTCCGGAGGCACCTCTCCTGTGGGAATTGCCCGCTGCAGGAAAGTGCTGTTTCGGAGGCGCTCCGTGGCCTGGGCTGCTCCGGGTCCAGGCTGCTCCGCTCCCGCGTTCCCATGCGTCAGAGGGCAATGGTGTATTTGCTGCTAAGGGATCCGTCGCTCCCATAGCAAATATGTAAAGCGGCACCTGTAAGCGTGTGTCGATTTTTGCCTCAAATGGGAGCCATGGGAAGACTGGACACCAAGGTGGGAAGATTTGCTGTCCCCACTCGTTCGGT